AGAGAGACACACACAGAGAGAGACACACACAGAGAGAGAGACACAGAGACACAGAGAGACAGAGAGAGACAGAGAGAGACAGAGAGAGGCACACAGAGAGAGACACACACAGAGAGAGACACACACAGAGAGAGACACACACAGAGAGAGACACACACAGAGAGAGAGACACAGAGACACAGAGAGACAGAGAGAGACAGAGAGAGACAGAGAGAGGCACACAGAGAGAGACACACAGAGAGAGACACACACAGAGAGAGACACACACAGAGAGACAGAGTGAGAGAGGAAAGTGAACACTCCCACTACGGGACTCTGCCCCATGAATCGTGAGGAGGAGGATGATGATGACAGAAGTTCGTGGTTCGGATCTCCTAGGACGCCCTGGTCATCACTGCGGCGGTGCTGCGTCGACCGCACATTCCCACGCGCCCCGTCTATTTCGACGGCGGACTTCAAGCAAATTTAACAAATTTTAAATAAAATATCCAAGAGCAATCATCGCCCCCCCCCAACCCCAACTGGCCGAACTGATGCACCCCCCCCCCGCCACTTGCAGGCGAAGTTCCTGAGTCGCCTTGTGCCGCACAGACAGAGCTGCCGCTGGGGGTGCCCCTTTCAAGTGTATTGATACGATGATGATGAGGATGATAATGATGGGAGTTTCACGGGAGAGACTGAGAGAGGAGGAGCGCGTGGGATAACAAAACCCACGCGGGTTCTTGACATCTTCACGTTGATATTCATGCAGCAGTGGACAGAACATGGTGATGGCGGTGATGATGAATGTGATGGAGAGATACTCGCTGGGAATTCCACGGCAAGTCGGAGAGGAGAGAGGGGAGAGAGGGGAGCACGCGTTGGGGTTCGTGATGACATCGTCCAAGCCGTGACGAGGAGTGAGTGGGGTGTGGGGGTCACGGCCAGAGGAGACGGTGGCGATCGATGATGATCGATGATGATCGATGATGGTCGATGATGGTCGATGATGATCGATGATAGTCGTTAAGACGAACAACAGAGTTTGCGGCCGAGAGAGAGAGAGGGAGGACGTTCCACCGACAAGGAGATGGAGCGATGTTAGAATCAGCTCCTCGTGTGTGGAGGAGCCAGATGGCTTGGTGCATCGCTACTGCCGTGGGAGGTGGTGACGGACTGGGAAAGGTTTCATCCAGCAGTGGACTGGCCATGGCTGCTACGATGATGATGATGGTGGTGGAGGCTTGGGGAGGCCTTCATCGAGCAGTGGATTGAGGATGGCGCTGGCGATGATCGAGGTCTCGGCTTGCCACGGTGCCATCGCCCGCAGTACCGCGCGCTGTCCGCCAAGCGGCAGCCTCTCAGCTCGTGGAAATTGACAATTCACCGAAAAAAAGTTTTGTTACTTGCACCAGATATGTGTGTACGTTGAACTTCTTTCGCACCGCACGTAGCCAACCGAGCTTCTCAGAAGCGACTCGGGTCATCACGAATGATAGCCCCAACCAATTGGCGGCTCAGAATCATCATCATCGTCACTGCGTGGACATTTAGAGCAGCAGTCAAATGCTCCGTAACGCGTGGTGACGTTGATTCTAAATGTGGAGGGGAAAGAAACCGGAGGAGCAGGAGACACAAACTTGAAATATACAGCAGCAGCAGATCTCAGGCTCAGGATCGAACCCACGACCTCCTGCATACCAGGCGAGGTAGTTAACATCTCCTAGCCACCGTGATGATGATGAGAGATAGAGACACAAACTCCAAATATACAGCAGGAATCAGGGTCGGGATCGAACCCATGCCTCCTTCATTCCAGGCGAGGTCGTTAACATCTCATAGCCACCGTGATGATGATGATGATGACAGAGAGAGAGACACGCAAACTCCAAATATATAACAGTAGGCATCAGGGTCGGGATCGAACTCACGACCTCCTGGATACCAAGCGAGGTAGTTAACATCTCTGAGCCGCCGTGATGATGATGATGATGACAGAGAGAGAGACACGCAAACTCCAAATATATAACAGTAGGCATCAGGGTCGGGATCGAACTCACGACTTCCTGGATACCAAGCGAGGTAGTTAACATCTCTGAGCCGCCGTGATGATGATGATGACAGAGAGAGACACGAAAACTCTAAATATACAACAGGCGTCGGGGTCGGACTCGAACTCATGCCTCCTGCATTCCAGGCGAGGTCGTTAACATCTCCAAGCCACCGTGATGATGATGAGAGAGAGAGAGACACGCAAACTCTAAATATACAGCAGGCATCAGGGTCGGGATCGAAATCACAACCTCCTGCATTCCCCGCGAGGTCGTTAACATCTACGAGCCGCCGTGATGATGATAATGATGATGAGAGAGAGACACGCAAACTCTAAATATACAACAGGCGTCGAGGTCGGGATCGAACCCACAACCTCCTGCATTCCAGGCGAGGCAAATAAAATTTCCTAACCACCGTGATGATGATGAGAGAGAGAGACACGCAAACTACAAATATACAGCAGGATACAGGGTCGGGATCGAGCCCATGCTCTCCTGGATTCCAGGCGAGGTAGTTAACATCTCCTAGCTACCGTGATGATGATGAGAGAGAGAGACACGCAAACTACAAATATATACAGCAGCAGGCATCTCGGAGCTACCAATGAGCGCGTGCGTTGCACATCCGTGTTCAATCCACTGCTGGATGGAGGCCTCTCTCCCGAGCGAGTGTGGCAGAACAACAACAACAACGCCGTGGCGAGCATTCGGGAGGTCGCCAAGCTGTGTTCACTGTGTTCAGATAACCAGAATAGGCACCCCCCCCCCCCCTCGTATCGCAAGGCGCCATCGAGTCTCTGCGTTCACCATCACGCCCGTGGTAACGCGCACGCGATGGCCATTTGCCACCGGTCGCCTTTGTCCACAAACGCTCGCGCAAAGACGAGTCTATGAAGTTGAGGGCTGCAGCCCTACTCCGGCTTGTTAGCGAGCACCTATTAAGGGCTTGCAGAAAAGCAGCCCGGCCTGGCCCGACCCGGGCCGCCTTTGTCTCTCCGGCGATGATATTTACGGCGGAGTCGGATCAGATATCGCTCGCCATCGATATGAGCAGAGATCGCTTTTAGCCTCGTCCGTCCAAGGTCCCTGACCCCCCTCCACCCTTCCGGGGGGAGGGGGTGGAGGGGCCACTTCCCCACCCGGCACACCACATCCTTCCATGATCTACCCTCTCGCTAAAACTTTATTTATTATGTTGGCCAGGTAAGAAGGGCCCCCACTGATCTGGGTAGCGGCTTCTTGTTTTTTCGGAAGCGAATTGCCCCTGTCGCCAATGATGGCAGCTCACGCGAAGTGGCCGTCTCGTCACCGTCGTCGTCGTCGTCGCAATCTTCGTGTGTGAGTTTATAGCAGCAGCCAAATAACTCTAGAAACGCTGTGCAGCTCGATTCTAAATGTGGAGGGGGAAGAGAGAAAAATCCACTCGACCACGAGAAGAGAGAGAGAAACGCAAACTACAGATATACAGCAGCAGGCGTCAGGGTCGGGATCGAACCCACGGCCTTCTGTATACCAGGCGAAATAGTTAACATCTCCTAGCCACCGTGATGATGATAAGAGAGAAAGAGACACGCAAACTACAAATATACAGCAGCAGGTGTTATCAGGGTTGGGATCGAACCCACGACTTCCTGCATTCCAGGCGAGGAAGTTAACATCTCATAGCCACCGTGATGATAAGAGAGAGACACGCAAACTGAAAATATACAGCAGCAGGCATCGTCAGGGTCGGGATGGAAGCCACGCCCTCCTGTATACCAGGCGAGGGAGTTAACATCTCCTAGCCACCGTGACGATGAAGAGAGAGAGACACGTAAACTCCAAATATACAGTAGGCGTCGTCAGGGTCGGGATTGAACCTACGACTTCCTGCATACCAGGCGAGGGAGTTAACATCTCCGAAAACTGCTACCCATAGACTCAACACTGCCACTCATAGACTCAACACTGCTACCCATAGACTCAGCACCGCTACCCATAGACTCAGCACTGCTACCCATAGACTCAACACTGCCACCCATAGACTCAACACTGCCACCCATAGACTCAACACTGCCACCCATAGACTCAACACTGCTACCCATAGACTCAACACTGCTACCCATAGACTCAGCACTGCCACCCATAGACTCAACACTGCCACCCATAGACTCAACACTGCTACCCATAGACTCAACACTGCCCATAGACTCAACACTACCCATAGACTCAACACTGCTACCCATAGACTCAACACTGCTAGCCATAGACTCAACACTGCCACTCATAGACTCAGCACTGCTACCCATAGACTCAACACTGCCACCCATAGACTCAACACTGCTACTCATAGACTCAACACTGCTACCCATAGACTAAACACTGCCACCCATAGACTCAACACTGCTACCCATAGACTCATCACTGCTACCCATAGACTCATCACTGCCACCCATAGACTCAACACTGCCACCCATAGACTCAACACTGCTACCCATAGACTCATCACTGCTACTCATAAACTCAACACTGCCACCCATAGACTCAACACTGCACCATAGACTCATCATTAATACCCATAGACTCATCACTGCTACACATAGACTCATCACTGCTACCCATAGACTCATCACTGACACCCATAGACTCATCACTGACACCCATAGACTCAACACTGCCACCCATAGACTCATCACTGCCACCCATAGACTCATCACTGCCACCCATAGACTCAACACTGCTACCCATAGACTCAACACTGCCACCCATAGACTCAACACTGCACAATAGACTCATCACTGCTACCCATAGACTCATCACTACACATAGACTCATCACTACACAGAGACTCATCACTACACATAGACTCATCACTACACATAGACTCATCACTACACATAAACTCATCACTACACATAGACTCATCACTACACATAAACTCATCACTACCCATAGACTCATCACCGCTAAAATAAAACTCAGACTTACGAGATCAACGTCTTCCAGCGCTTCCTTGTCCGAGTGAAAAATCTTCAATATCGACGTGCAGTGTAAAAAAAAAACGAAGTTTATATTTAATTTCTATTTATTTATTTTGCACAAAGAGGCTGAAATGTCGCGGTTTCGCTGCACGCGAACCCCTCCTGAGCGCGCGCCACGCGGCGTCAATCAGCGGGAATTGATTGCTGGCGATCAGCGCTCCCTTTATAGATTATCTCATTGTCACCACCCCTCCCCTCCCCCATTGTCACCACCCCTCCCCTCCCCCCATTGTCACCACCCCCCTCCCCTCCCCCATTGTCACCACCCCCCTCCCCTCCCCTACCCCCGCTCCTCCCACGATATTCCAATCGTGACCTCCCCCCCCTTCTCTCTCCCCTCCCTCCCCCTTACACTCCCCACTGCCCCACTCCGATGGCCCCCTCCCATAATTCCTCCTCTATTCTCCCCCTCCCCTATATCCCCCCCACCCCAAAGCCCCCCATAATTCACCCCCCTATATTCTTCCTCCACCCTAATATCCCCCTCCCCTCTATCCCCCTCCCCTCTATCCCCCCACCCCCTCCACCTGCCCAGCCACATTTAGAATCAACACGCGTTTAGAATTTTTTGATTATTTGGCTTCTGCTAGAAATGTCCACGTGGTCGTGATGATGGTGATGATGGTGATGATGGTGATGATGGTGATGATGGTGATGATGGTGATGATGGTGATGATGATGGTTATGATGATGATGGTGATGATGGTGGTGGTGATGGTGGTGATGGTGGTGGTGATGGTGATGGTGGTGATGATGGTGATGATGGTGATGGTGATGATGATAATGGTGATAATGGTGATGATGGTGATGATGATGGTGATGATGGTGGTGATGGTGATGATGATGGTGATGATGGTGATGATGGTGATGATGATGGTGATGATGGTGGTGATGGTGATGATAGTGATGATGGTGATGGTGATGATGGTAATGATGGTGGTGATGATGATGATGGTGATGATGGTGATGATGGTGGTGATGATGGTGATGATGGTGATGGTGATGATGATAATGGTGATAATGGTGATGATGGTGATGATGGTGGTGATGGTGATGATGATGATGGTGGTGATGGTGATGAGGAGCCATTTGGTTGAGCTACCATCATCTGTGATGGCCAGCCCAGCTTCTGAAAAATAATTTGCTCAATTTGCTTTACCCCCTAGAACTACTTAAGAAATTCAATATCACGACTATCTACAACATTAATGTGCTCAAACATGCACCGTAGGCAAAACCCCCACAACGTAAACTTCCACGTTGATTCCCAACTCCATGCGTACAACACGAGACACAACAATGACATTCGCGCCCCTTCCCTCTGCCCCACCACACACACACAGAGTCACTTCTACGTCAGATACAGAGGTTGCCCTACTCTGGGAAGTTGCCAAAATGTCATCACCATCCCTCAACAACTTCAAAGCAGAGACTACGGGTCAGGCCTGATTGGTAGCTACACTGCCCGTGTAGCCTGAACAGACTGTAGGGGCAAGTGCTGTTAGCGAGCAGCACCTATGAAGGCCGGCACGGCACACGAGGGGGTGGGTGGCCAGCACCACGCCATCGGATTTCCTCCTCCTGCAGTTTCAAATCTTCACATTCTGATGATGCTAATTCTCCAGACCCTTGCCACGTCTCACGATCCCCCCCACCACCATCCTCCTCCCACCCTCCACCCAGAATCCACCCCCAGCCATTGGGGGGCCGGGGTGAGTGTGTGGGGGGTCACGTGACCTCCCCCCCCGTCACCCATCCCCTCGTGTGCCCCCCACACCCCTCCCCCGTGCGTTCATGTGCGCGGCGACGTCTCGACGGATGCGCGTGGGCTCACCCCCCACCCCCTTCAACACGCAAATAAAAGACAAAGGTTCCTCGTGTAGCCTCTAACAGACTGTTGGGGGGGGGCAAGTGCTGTTAGTGAGCAACAAGCCCGTAGCCGTGGAGTCAACACAGGGGGGGGACCAAATTTGAAAACGAATTTCCTGCCATTTCGTGCCTAGAATATTAAAAAATAACTAACACGTAGGATGGACTTTTTATTTATTTTTGTACAATAATGTCTAATAGTGTATTGTATTACATTGCTCTGTTTTTACTTTTTAACCTTTTCTTGTGTCATTGTATGTAATGGCAGAGATTAGGGATTAATAAAGTACAACCATAACCACAATCATATCGACAGAAATCTATTTTATAGCAATATATTGGGGGGGGGGGGACATTTTGAGAATATGTATTATAATTACGGCCTTGGTGAGCAGCACCTATGAAGGCCGGCACGGCGCGCGACGAGGGGGGGGAGGTGGTGGCCAGCACCCCCCGGCCGCCTTTGTCTCCCCAAGTGACGATATCTACTCCACATCGCACCCCAGGGTACTCTTTTGAGGCTGAGTCGACCTATCGGGGAGCAGGCCCAGGACCGGTTCAGAGAATCATCACCGGTGGTGTTGGTGGCCGTGAGCGGGAAGCGAACTCGGGTCGTAGCGCAGCGCGCCAATTGTTGCACCACCGCTCCCCACACACGGACCAGACAAAGATCCCCGGATAGCCTCAACAGACTGTTGGGGCAAGTGCCGGTCACACTTTGTCTCTCCCAGTGGCGATGTTTACACACCGCACCAGGCACTAATCTATGGCTAAGTCGACCTAGGGGAGGCCCAGGACCACACACTACCACCAATAACAACAACCCCCATTCGCTACTAAGTGGCGGTGACGTCACCACGGCGCTTGTGCCAGGCTAAGTGCACGTTAAGGCCACTGGAGGTGTCGAACGCCCGCTGGCAGGAGGTGCTGGGACAGACCCAGCAGGTGCCATGGGTCGACTGACTGAGATGAATGGCAGATGCACCACCACCTGTGCCCACTACTAACACTACGAACAAAGACAAAGCTCCCCCGCATAGCCTTCACATACTTTAGGGGCAAGTTCTGTTAGCGGGCACCTATGAAGGCCGGCACGGCGCACAAGGAGGTGGGTGGCCAGCACCACGCCCGGCCGCCTTTGTCTCCCAAGTGGCGATGTTTGCAAACCGCACCAGGTACTGATTTGAGGCTGAGTCGACCTAGGGGAGGCCCAGAACCGGCTCACATAACCGTCACTGGGTGTTGGCCGTGAGCGGGAATCGAACTCGGGTCGCTGGGTTCGCCACGCGCTGCGCGCTAACCGCTGCACCACCGCTCGCCACAGAAACACACCACCACCACCTTCAACCACGACCCATCATCATTATCATCACCATCACCACCATCATCATCACCATGACAATCATCACCATCACCATGACCATCATCACCATCATCACCATGACCATCATCACCATCATCACCATCATCACCATCATCACCATGACCATCATCACCATCATCACCATGATCACCATCACCACCATCATCACCATCATCACCATCACCATCATCACCATCATCACCATCATCACCATGACCATCATCACCATCACCACCATCATCACCATCATCACCATGACCATCATCACCATCATCACCATCATCACCATGAGAATCATCACCATTATCGCCATTATCACCATCACCACCATCATCACCATCATCACCATGATCACCATCACCACCATCACCATCATCACCATGATCACCATCACCACCATCATCACCATCATCACCATGACCATCATCACCATCACCACCATCATCACCACCATCACCATCACCACCATCATCACCATCATCACCATCATCACCATCATCACCATTATCGCCATTATCACCATCACCACCATCATCACCACCATCACCATCATCACCATGACCATCATCACCATCATCACCATCATCACCATTATCGCCATTATCACCATCACCACCACCATCACCATCATCACCATCATCACCATGATCACCATCACCATCATCACCATCATCACCATCATCACCATCATCACCATGATCACCATCACCACCATCACCATCATCACCATGACCATCATCACCATCATCACCATTATCACCACCACCACCATCATCTCCCTTTCCCCTCTGTGGCGTCCACGGGGTTCAATGGACTCCATCATCAACGCCGCTCAATTAAGGGGGATCCCACGGGGGAGATGTGGCCTCTCAAGTAAACATCGCGTTGAGTTTCCAGCGACAACCCACACACAGAGAGGCGAGGGAGAGGCGAGGGAGAGGGGAGGGAGAGGGGAGGGAGGGTGTTGAAGACACGTCTAGTGATCCCAACGCGTGACGAGTCCCTTGATGAAGGCGCAGACCTGCAACTGCCTGGCTCACGACAACTGTTGGCAGACATGGGCCTCCGACTCCATAGAATGGGGCGCTGAGATGTTTGTGTGTGTGTTGAGCTTTTTTTATTCCTGGTTCTTTCGGTAAAGTCACGTAGAAGGGAAATAATAAAATAATAAAAATATTACATCATTAAATAAAATATATATAATAATAACTGAAATTAATATATTTGTACGTAGCCGACCGTGCTAATCTGTGGGTCTACATGAGTCTGGGTGTCTGTGGGTCTCTGTATGTGTGTGTGTTGGACTTCTTTCGCACCGTACGATGTAGCCAACCATGCTAATCTGTGGGTCTACATGAGTCTGGGTGTCTGTGGGTCTCTGTATGTGTGTGTGTTGGACTTCTTTCGCACCGTACGTAGTAGCCAACCATGCTCATCGTAGGTGCCGGGGGGAGAAGGACAAAAAACTGACCGCAAAATGAACTTTTATTTGGAAGCCACTGGAGCCGTACACTTTAAAATCTAGATTCAAAACTCCGTGGAGCTGTCACGTGCCACACAACACGTGGCCAGTTAGTGACTAGTTCAGCACGAACCGCTGTGTGTGTTGAAGAGTGAAACCCACGGCGACACTGACAATGGGACCCCTGTGACGTGTCGCCAGGGACTTGGAACGACAACAAGAAGCAGCGAGCAGTGAACTGACGAAGCTGCTGGTTGGCTTGTTGCTGTGATCACCGGCGAAACGTCTAAAGGGTTCATATTGTAAATGTTGTTGTTGTTATTGTGGGTTTTACTCTCCAACACACACACACCGGTTAGTGCTGACGTGGTCACTAATTGGCGTTGACGTGGTCACTAATTGGCGTTGAAG